TTGGAGGTTTGACAAAGGGAGTTGCTTGTCAAACCACCGGTACACCCAGGCCTGGTGGCGCTGCACTGCGCGCCAAGCTTCACTGAACCGCCAGCGACTCTTTTTTCTTTTTTGGCTGACACCGCCAGCCATTGTGGTCTGGTAGCCCCGAGCCTCCGAAATTTAAGGAGTAAGCGGGAAGAAGTCTTCCAAGGCTGAGGCCGTGTACTGGCGGTTTAATTGGGAACTAACATGTCCTATGCTAATCGACGTTTTTAGTGCAGACATYCATTTATCCTGCTTGCTTTAGAGACCCCTAACCTGCCCTTACACTTGTGCATGCGTGCGTGTTATGTCCCTGATTGAAAACGAATCCAGGATGGTATTCACACGTTCTCATACACATGCACGCACGATGACAAGTAGACTCCGTGAGAGCAATCCACACCAAACCAGTTGATAAGAACAAACAGCAGAAGCTCACAAAACCGAAATGGGAACTGGTCCTAATCAATTCTTATTAATACCGTCTCTCCCCAACTCGATCAGCAGCACAAAATTCCCAGGATCCCAACCACGTTATCAATATCCCTGAACCAATTACTTGCGAAATTTCAACAAACAAGGGAGACTTCTTCTTCTTCTTCTCAAACTCGAGCTCTTAGCTACGGCGCACGTGTACGCCCAACCTATGAATCTCACCAAGCACCACACACCCTCCTGAGCCCAACACGCCACTCTGCCTCAACCACGATGCTCACTGCAGATGAAGAATCCGCTCAACAGGGGAGCACGGGTTCCAGGATGAAGAAGAAGAACACCAACTTGATGAAGAAGAAGATGGCTGCCACTTCGACAAACACTTTGAAGAAGAGTTTTGATGCTGCCTATCGAGGATGTGCCTTACAGCGCTTAGGGCCTGATGCCCAGCGCTGGCTGTCAGCAAGCAGAATGGCCCAGCTATGGCCGTCAACTTTCCACCAAGGCTGAAGACCAAGCCCTCCACGCGACAGGATTTCATGCGACCTCCTCTTTTCCCAACGTGAAAAGAAGAATCAGCCAAAGGACCAGAAACTCCCTCATCGCCCGCCCTCTTGTTCCCCTCGACACTACAGGATTCGACAGGCTACATACAGCCTAAGACTGACAACCTACTGCCTAGGACCGGATCTAGACTGAAAACAGGAAAGAAGGGAGAAGCAGCAAACAAAAGCAACGTGGGCCTAAACCTAGCACAATTGCAGAAAAGTCCCTCTGAAGGGCAGGACAAGGGATCAAACCCTGGAGAGATCAAATCTACACAAGAGTTAGAAAACTAACTAACTAAGAGACAGGTCCAGGGATCAAGCCCCGAAGTCCTCAACCGAAGGAAACTACCACAGTGGTTAGTGTACAGCCCGCTGGATACTGCAATTCAGTGCATAAGCATGAGCCCACTAGCGCTGTGTATGTTCTGCTTGCTGTTATACATCCATTCTAGGGGAGAGGGAAGCTAATACCTGTCAATCATGTCAACAATCAAGTGTAAAGCTTGTACCTTAAACTGGTAATTCCGTGTGGCTCTTTCCAGAGAGTAGCATGGTGAATTAAGAAAAGTGACGTTTCCATGCTCGAGTGTTCGTTTTTTGCTTTCTTCGAAACTACACTATATTCTTCTCCCTAATTCTTTCATCTCTCGCTACCTACCTAACACGACTCCTAAGGCTACACATAGGGCACCCCTTCAAGCTTACCTATCTACCTCGCTTGGTGCATTGGTCTTGCTTGGCCTTTGTTCTCTATTTTTGTTTACATAAAGTCCCGTGTTGTTTTGTTTTGGTTTTAGATTTCGATTTGGTGTCCCACGTTGTTGGTCTTTTTTTTTCTTTCTGATGCATCATTTACCGTTTTTCAAGTTTCTTCTTGTCAACAAATGGGAGCATTGACTTAGGAGCTGGAAACCAGGTCCAGCGTCCTTTACATCATTAATATCCACACCACACGCTTCCCTCCATTATGGTCAAGCCTCAAGGAACCGTGCGATGCCGGCACTGATTGCTTGGCCTTCCATTGGAGTCCCATGTTGTCGTTGAATCCTTCATATGATATCTTAAACTGGGAGACCGAAGAAAGCAACTCGTCACGAGCTGCTGTCAAAGTGACAGATTGCCAGCTTGAGCTGGAGCTGAGGTGTTGGGTCATTGTGCCCCTTGAGAAGTATTTGCACACCTTATATGCACACCGCTTTCAGACATGTGCACAGGAGTTGAATAGTGCTCGAGTGGTCACAGTGGCACAGGATGGATGTGAGTTGAGGTCTTTGGTGATTGCACTGTAGGCTGGGAGTTCTTTTAGCGTTTGGTTTATCAGTCGCTTTATCTCTGGGGCTATCACGTAGTGATTACAGTCCAGGGGCGCATCTCGCTAGGCTGTGTTTTAGTGTTTGACTTGGTAATGGATTGTTGGGCCCGTCTCAGTTCTCAGCTGATTTGATGGTCAATCAGCCTTGTCCCCTACAGTTTACATACACTGTTTCCCCTCAGCAGGTCCCCCAAGCGGGCCTTGCATATGGCCCACTTGTGCAGGGCTCCGAGTCCGAAGGGTTGCACACAATGACAACGGGAGACGCTGCTAGATGTTGAGACATCTCTGAGGCGGCGGTGGTAGGGTTAAAAGCCTGAATCCATGTGTCATCACCAGGGGGGGGTATCCTTTCAGACAGGAAACCACACTACGCTTAGCTAGGTCGTCCATACACGTTTTCCTTTTTTCCGGCATCCAAAGATCTGAGATTTCCCTTTTGGGGGGTCTATGGCTCCTTTGCCGGATCTTTAATCCTGTGCTCTTTGCAGCTGTTGCGAGTGTTTCACTCATCTGTTGTTTCAGTGGAAGATTGTCTCAGGCTTGAAAGGCTCTGCTGTGGTCTCATCTGACGAGCGATTGAACTGAGGTTAGACGGGCTGTGCTGCACAACTGTCATGGTGTACAGGAAGCAAACTTTGTGTCTAGAAAGGGGTCACGGATGAATGCTTACATTGCTGCAATGTACTCGGGCTTTAGGGGGGTTGAAGAGTTTACTTTTTTCACGTGCAGATATGGGATGGTTGTCAGCGACCAACAACTGGATACCGTCCGGATATCAAATGCGAACACAGTAGAGGAAATTTGTTTGCAGCCTGGTGTAGCGGCACTTTGGTGGAATCTTGCCAGGGTTCCAGATGTGCATCAGTGAGAGGCTCCTTTCTTTCATGTACTTCGCACATGCTCAAGATTGAAGTGAACTCTGATTATCTGACTGCCTGCTTTTGTAGCTTCTTGTGTTGACGTGCATGCCTGAGTCCAGGGTTGCAATGTGCTGCCCTGCGTGTTCGCTTGACATGAAAGCTGCGTGTTAACTTCATGTATGCGACTGCAAAACCAAAACCTTGCAGGTTGTATACCGTACATGCGCTCGTTTGTGTGCATATTCCCTGAGGATTAAACAAGTGTTCAGCATCAGACAGGAAGATGAAGCGCCATGACCGCTTGTGAGTGTTACGGCAGCATACCGAAAATTGCTGATCTCTTTATCTTCTGTAAGCCTTGGTTGTGTTGCCCATCATTCTGCTGCCCCCTTGCTTTCGTCGATTCCGTGATGTGTACTGCAATTCTCATACAGGCTGGATGGTGAGGGGGGGAAGAGGCCCGAATTAGGGAAGGAATTTGTGGGACTGATTTCGTAATGCAGTTCGGACTTCGAACTGAGTCCAACTGTTTAAGTTGTTGTGTTTTTTCTCGTCTTGAACTGTTCACTGAAGAGTTGCTTTCTGCTGGCGGGTTTCCCGGATGCTGAATTCTCTTGTCAGTTGTCCTGCTGAAAGAGTTCCTTATCGATGTTGGGTTTCCCAGATACGGAATGCACAATGTATGTTGCCGTATAGCATAGCGAGCGAGGGTTAGTGCTGTGGTTGGTGACAGACATGAAGCGTCGATTCAGTTCAGAAGCTCTCCAGCCACTCAGTCCAGTGATCTGTAGTGAGTGTTCTTCCAAGCGATTCATCACTCCTTGATACTCATCAGTCGGTGGCTCACTCCCTTGATAAGTTTGCGAGATGATTGATTGTATGCCATGTCCAGGTCTTGGATCTACTGTGTGCCGTGGAGGTAGGACTGGTAGCAATTCTAGATATGGACACAGTTTCACCGACCGCATGGTCAGTCAGCAACTGAGCCTGGGTGTTGACGCTTACGAGCTTGAGAAATGGTAATGGGTATCCTCCTTGGGCTTCCCATTTAGAGGCCCCTGGATGTCGTGGTTGGTTTGGAGTATGTGGGGGAATGGGAGCAGGGACGGGGTCCTGGGTGTCGTTTCGATGGGTGATGGAGTTTCGAGTTGAGACAGAGGGAAAAAAAGGCTGGGTGTGGAGCAGAAGAAGATGATGATGATGATGATGATGACGGCGATGATGATAATGACGATGATGGCGACAGTACTCAAATCGGTATCATTATATCGATGATGATTTCGACAATGCTGACTGACAATGATAGCGATTGGCATTATGAGGCCAAAGTGGAGAAGGTATGTGAGCTTCAGGCTGCTGATTCTGAAGCTTGAGGTCTTGGACCAGGAAACTGGAGGCCCCTGGATGTTGGGGTTGGTTCGGAGTGTGTGGGGGAATGGGAGCAGGGAGGCTGGGTGTGGAGCAGAAGATGATGATGATGGTGATGGTAATGACGACGATGGCGGCAGTGCTCAAGTCGGTACCATCAGAACAATGATGGTTTCGACAATGCTGTCAGACAATGATGGCGATTGGGATTACGAGGCCGAAGTGGAGAAGGTATTTGAGCTTCAGGCTGCTGATTCTGAAGCTTGGAGTCTTGGACCAGGAAACTGGAGAGGGGGGGAAAGAAGAAGAAGAAGGAATGCTTGATGTCTTTATGGTGATGTTGAAAGTGATGTGCGTCAAGCAATGCGCTTGGTTTTATGACGCAGAAGAGGAGGTTGAAGGATCAAAAGAGGTTTGTTGACGACTCTTTTGCTTCGGACACTGTTCGAATCCTCCCAAATGTAGTTCCACACTTACAGATGCGACAGGACTTTCAGCTGCCCGGACTGTGTTGCTGATTTAGATGGGTGCGCAGATGATTCAGATGCGTGGGAAGATGAGCTCACAGCCAGAATATGTATGGGTGGGTGCGCGGATTACCTCACAGCCAGAAGTATAGGCAGCCATTTTCCTTTAAAGTTGGTAGATGTGAATGAATCACATTAGTGCTAATCAATGGAAGCATGTAATTGTGCTGGCTGTGCATGTCAGGGAATGGTAATCTTTTCTTTGCCCGTTTCAAACGCATCAGTCTTTCCTTTCCGTTTTACGTCACTTCTTTGCCCTTCTCAGTAGAGGCGTTTCGTTAAAACCCTGGGGATCGAAGGCGATGAATGAACCTTTTTGTCAATATTGCTGACTGAGACCCATGGCCAGCCAGAACAGGACACTTGGGAAGAAAGATAATTGCCATTTTCCACCGCACAAACTGAAATGAAACAGAAGCAGACATGTTCTTGGTATGGGCGTGGTCCAAACGCTGTGCATTCTCAGAGTGCTGAGGTGCAGTGAAAGAAAATGGCCTCTGTGTGAGTCTGTGAGTGACCGCCTACCATGTATGGTTGTACCGACTCCTTTGCGATCGAAGCGACAGCAAGTCCGGCGTGTATGTACGAAAGAAGTAAAGAGAAACAATGAAAAAAGCCAAATAAGGAAAGAGAGAGCTCCGCAGATGGTTGTAGTTTTATTCATGCTGTCTGTTATTTTCTTTGTTTGTTTTGCAAAGTGCGCTCTTTTTGTAGATAGATATTCGACAATATATATGTCAGCGGTGGGCGTGCGCCCGGCCAGGCAGGAGGTAGACCTGTGCGGGGAAACCGGGTGGGGCAAAAAAGAGGTAGCGAATCGGGGATCCAAAAAAAAAATATATATAACCTATGGCCAGGACTGCGCTTGGCCTGAGCAGTGAGAATCTAGCGATACCTTGCAATTCAGTGATGTTTCACCCATGGGGGTTTGGGCCCATTGGGGGGTATAAATAGTGTTTAAACTTTAAAGGGGTATATATCTTAAACTGCCATTTCACCCTTTTAGCAGAGCGGGGCTCTTTCCAGTTTACACAATAAGAGCTTTTCGTCGATTCGGGCCTTGGCCACTTTGAAAAGGTGCAGGTGCAGGTGCACAAGCCTTTGAAGGTAGCTGCATCAATTTAAGCTCGTGTGAATTGCTGCTTAAACTCCTGTTTTTTATTTTGTTTTTATTTTGAAGCTAGGGTCATCTGTTAGCAGGCTCTACAGACTGCAAGTGTTCAGCCTCCTGATGAGACGGTAAACCTTCGACGAAACAATCTGTCACAGCCCCCTGTTCTTGGTCCATTTCACCCTGTCTGCGCACGGTTCACTGGGCACTTCTCTATGATGATATAAACGTACGACTTCACTAGCTCTCCGCTATGGTTTTCTCTGGTCAGGTTGAAGGGCTGCGGTCAGGGCTGTCATTATGCAGCCATGCTTTGCACCTGTGTGCCTGGAATGTATTTTCTGGCTGTGCAGACCTCTCTTTGTTCCATGGGAGGGTTGCTGGCTTATTATGGGGTATTGACCTGCAGTTCATGGAGCGCCCCGTTGGGTGATAATCTGCCTTGTTTTTTCGTTGTAGCCCCCCTCGAGGGAAGTGGTGGGAACCCACTTACAGGTACCAGTTGTGGGGCAGCGGCCAAACACCAAGGTGCCTTTTCTTTGGCAGTATCTGCAGGCTGTAGAGGAGGGTTCAGCCTTGGGATGAGCCAGTCAAACTCTGACGGAGCAGTCTGTCACAGTCCTCCATCTTCTTGTCCTTTTCCCCTTTTCTCCCTATGGATCACCGGGCGGCTGTCTCTGTGTGTGTTTTTCGCAAATGTGTAGTTCACATGCTGGCAATCTTAGGTATTTACCTTGATGTGTTCGGGTGCAGCGATTCGGGAATGTAAGGAAAACTTGAGAATGGAGGAGATACGTTTTAAGCGGGCGGAGCTTCAGCTGCTGGATGAGGGTCTTGTCGACGTCGACAGGTGGGTGCTTTTCCATCGTCCTCTCCGTGAGCCTTTTCTTCCGTGCGGTTGATTTCAACATTCTCAAGCTCTCTCCATAGCTCACTTGAGATCTAATGAATATGTGCCTGCCGTGTGCCTGAATGGCTGACAAATTGATAACGAGTTCAGATCCTTACGGATAAGCAATGTGTGGGATTCTTTCCGTCCATCTGCTGTACTTCACCATTGTCAATCTCTACCAACAGACCTTTTCCTTCCAATTTGAATCATAAACCACCACCAGTATGTCTCCGAGGAAAACTTTGGTGATTCGTTTACCACCGTATCACACAGGGGTTCGACCTCCTGGACCTTTTTGGCTGGCGGCGCCAGCCAAATAGAAAGAGAAAGAGCACCACACCCTTTCGTTTTGGAATTGGAGTGCAGCAGAAATCCGCCACATGTGAAATAGGTGCGGACGTACTGGTGGTTTAAAGATGTAATGAAATGAATGAAATGTTTACCTCCCTTGTGGCTCAGTGGTACGCACATGTAACTGCTGATAAACAGATTGTGAGTTCAAATCCATGTGGATAAGATAACATTAGGGGATTATTAAATTTATTATCCCCTTAGAAAAGAAGAACGATACAGAGAAGATTAGCATGGCCTCTGCGCAAGGATGACTCACGTAAATTGAGAAATGGTCCAAATTATAAGAGGATTAAAAAAAAGGATTTCATCAATTTTCATGTTGTATAAATACCTGTGTTGAGGTCCTACAGTCCCGACGTGTCCCAGTCTCATGTGTCCCAATTGGCCTGGTCCCAAGGGTCCCAAATGGTCCCAGTCCTATGGGTCCCAAATGGTCCCAGTCCCATGGGTCCCATAGGTCTGATACGGGTCTGGTAGTTGAATAGTCGTAGGTCGTTAGAAGTCAGGCCCGGTACACTCTCGACAGAAGGAAGTCCAGATCCGAAGTTTGCTGCAGCATCTTGGGAAAGTCAGTTAAGTTCTGGTACTGGCAACAACTGCAGCCGACAGGTCGCGACAACCGGTACCGGTCCGGAGCCGACAGAAGACATCAACTGATGCTGTGATTTATAGATGCTACAGTGCCATTTAACTTCACTTGCCAATGTGCGTGTTGAGGAAGCTCTGCTGAACACTTGTGTGCCCAGGGTTGGACTGAGTCGAAGAGGTTGACGAAGGAGGAGGGCATTCGGCACCATTGTTAGGTTTGAGCAGGAAGTAGAAGACCACCATATCTGATAGGTAGTTAGGGTGAGATGAGTGGCGAGTGCGTTCAGGAAGTGAGAGTGAGCGATCCATAAGGAGAGAGAGGGAGAGAGAGAGAGCGAGTGAGTAAGGTGGTGCGCCCGAAGAGTTGACAGAGAGAGGGACAGAGCGAGATAGACATAGAGAGAGTGAGAGGGATCTGAGCAGGAGTTACCTGTGGGTGACAGGAGCGACGAGTGCATTCAGGAAGTGGGAATGAGCGATCCAAGGACAGAGAGAGTGAGCGAGTAAGGTGGAAAGCCTGAAAAGTTGAGAGAGAGAGGGAGAGAGCAAGATGGACATAGAGAGGGAGAGAGATCTGAGCCAGAGTCACCTGTGGGAGGATGATGGCGATAGCAGCCATAACGGCTTGTATTCTGAGCTTGAGACCTGTATAATATCAATTGTTTTGAAGAGCCTTCATCTTGGTGTGAACTGATTTGCTGTCTTGATGTTTATGTGAATGTTCTGTGTGCTTTCGGTGTGATGCAAGTTGTGTTTTGGGCTTGAATTAGGCCTGGTTCCCTGCACGTGGGCTTGAATTAGGCCTGGTTCCTTGCATGTGGGCTTGAATTAGGCCTGGTTCCTTGCACGTGGGCTTGAATTAGGCCTGGTTCCTTGCACGTACATCAGTAACACCTCTTGATTTCAGGTAAAAAAGTGTTGAATTAGGCCTGGTTCCTTGCACGTGGGCGTGTTTTGGGCTTGAATTAGGCCTGAGCCAGAGTCACCTGTAGGCATGGACTGCCCAAGTCTTAATGGCAATGTCGTGGCGGAGTTTCTTTTTTTTAACCTTTTGTCGGAGGGGTGTTAAGGAAAGGGAGGGGGGGGGGTGCGGGGTTGCAGGTTGACTTTTGAAAGCTGTGGCAGTGGGCGCATTTTCTCAGGACATTTGGAAAAAGTGGGAAACTTCTCAAGAAACATTACCGTGAATAGAACTCTCCCTTTGCTTGCTTCAGATTCCGAAGTGTTGAGCATGTCTCCCATGACCTTTGGTTCTTTATTCGCAGCTTTGAGCTTGACTTTGCGTTCCACTGTTTGTTGTGATGACCTGCTTGGTGCAGCGCTAAGCTAGAGGCAGCGAGGAATGAAGTGGAGGAGTTGAGGAAGTGCCAGCAGGAACTGCTCGAGCAGCGTGACCAGCTAGAAGCGCAGCTAACGATCGCAAAGTCACATTTGGAAGCCGCCAAGGCACTGTTTAAGGAGTCGTTTTCTATAGAAAGTCTCAGTATCTGAGTTTTGTGTGTTTTTGCGTTCATGATCAGTTGTCGTGGTGATTGGATGGAATACCGTGGTGGCTGACGGAACCCTGCTTCGCCAGATCAGCATGCGATAGATGTGGCCCGGACTCATGGCAGGTTGGTCTGTTGTAGAGGACTTGCTTGGAATTCAGGTTGTTGAAGAGGGATGCACTTGATGCGGTACCAGAATCGCCGTTGACTTCGGCAGTGAAAGCGCGTCAGATGTGCCGTGTGCAATTCATTCACCGGCTTTGGCGGAGGATGGACTTGCGAATCGCATGCAGGTAATGATCTTTTCCCTTACCCCTAAATTTGTGAAGCAAGCTGCTCGTCAACCATGCCGGTGTGGTTGGCGAGTGCATATGGCTTTCTGATCAGCTGATAAGCAGAAGCCATATTCAGTTCTGAGTTATTGGCAAGGAACTTGTATTGTTATCAGTTCTTTGGGGGGGAGGAAGTGGAGAGAAGGAAGAGAAAGGAGAGGGGAGGAGTTGGGGGTGGGGCGGAAAGAACGGTTGGTTGTTTAGCGAAGAGTTTTCTCCCACAGCTTGTTGGGGTCTTGTTTGGCTGGATGATTCACCAGCAGCGGCATTGTAACTCTTACCTATGCTTTTAAGTGTAGGACCTGAAGTTGGTAGTGAGCCTTGGGCAGTCCATGCCTACAGTTAAATGTCCCCCATGAAGTGGGGGCAGCGTTGACCGATTGTGGCATTTGCCTGTATCCCTTGTATTTGCTATTTGCCTTGCAAGTAGTGCAGTGGGAAAACGGGCAAGGCAATCCGCTTAACATAGCCTCAACACTTTTTTACCTGTTTTTTTGGGGGCCTCAACACTTTTTTACCTGTTTTTTTTGGGGGGGAGGAAGTGGAGGGAGAGAAGGAAGAGAAAGGAGAGGGGAGGAGTTGAGGGTGGGGCAGAAAGAAGGGTTGGTCACTTAGGGTAGAGTTTTCTCCCACAACTTGGGGTCTTGTTTGGCTGGATGATTCACCAGCAGCGGCGTTGTAACTGTTACCTATGCTTTTAAGTGTAGGACCTGAACTTGGTTGTGAGCCTTGGGCAGTCGATACCTACAGTTAAATGCCCCCCATGAGTTGGGGGTGGAATTGACCGATTGTGGCATTTGCCTGTATCCCTTAGTTACAAATCAAGCTTGCAATTGCTATTTGCTTGGCAAGTAGTGCAGTGGGAAAACGGGCAAAACAATCCGCTTAACGTATCCTCAACACTTTAGCGATATTGGTTGTTGTCATCATATATGATGATGACCTTTGGTGGTGGTTATTCATCAAAGTACAGGTTTTCTTTTTCGACTCCCAGTCGTTTTGTACGAGTTGTGGACTGTGACGGAGTCTGTAGAATTTTTCTTGGAGGCAGAGGATGTCATGTACAGACTAGTCGTTTGGTTGCCACAAGAAGAGAGCAATGCCACTCTTTGCCTGATCGGATGGGAGAAAGGACGGGAGGAGAGAAGAGGAAGGTGTAGGGAGGAGGGTGGGAGCGTCTTTTCCCATAACAACCACATCAGGAGTAGTGCCTTGTCAACAATAAGGATAAAGACAAACACAGCGGGAGATCCTTGTTCTGCATGTTCATTGGAGGATGGGCATGGAGGAGAGGAAGGTGTAGGGAGGAGGGTGGGAGCGTATTTTCCCATAACGACCACACCAGGAGTAGTGCCTTGTCAATAAGGATAAAGACAGACACAGCGGGAGATCCTTGTTCTGCATGTTCATTGGAGGATGGGCATGGAGGAGAGGAAGGTGTAGGGAGGAGGGTGGGAGCGTCTTTTCCCATAACGACCACATCAGGAGTAGTGCCTTGTCAATAAGGATAAAGACAAACACAGCAGGAGATCCCTGTTCTGCATGTTCATTGGAGGATGGGCATGGAAGGATGGGTAACCCGTACCTAACCCGAAAGCCATTACGTCGTGCACACAGTGTTTTCCTGAGTTCTGAGGACAGATGATGTGTGCCGTGGAGGACAGGGCTGAGCTGCTGAAACAGATACAGCAGGGATACCAGTGGGCGGGCCTAGCTCAGTCGGCACACCCATGAGCTGTTGAAATACAGACCTGAGTTCGAATCCGGATGGAACTGGATGAATGAGATCGAGTACTGGAAAACAAACACAGCAGGGGATGGCTTGTAGGGAAAGCAAGTGATGCTTTGGGTGCGTGCGGATGGCACTCTCTTTGAGCAACCGAGAATGACACCTGGCCTACTGTGTTATCTCTGTAGGAGGGCAAGACAACTGTAAATTCAGGCACAAGTAGAAAGGGTGACAGACACATTGCTGCATGCGTAACACAGGCGTAAGAGGAAATCTTCAATTTAAACAATTTTGTAATTTAACTTCCACGGAGAATCTCTTGTCTTCGTTTGGTCGGGCAACAGGATGAAGAATCTGACGGACTGCGGGTGGCTAAGGCAGCAGCAGGCAAAAGGTTCTTTTTGTACAGTGATGCTAGCATACATCCAAAACGTAGCTCAGCTGGCACAAGGCCGGAGCGTAACCGGAGCCTGCAGCATGAAGGACGGAACGACTGTGGGTTGGGGGAACTGCTGGACGTGGAAGTGTGGCTGGCTATCAAGAAGGCCCAGTGGAGTATAATGTGCAGAATGTAATACATGTGATGGCAGGAGTTATGTAATTCATGCAAACAGGAAGATGGCAGGAGTTATGTAATACATGCAAACTGGAAGATGGCAGGAGTTATGTCTTTGAACGAAAGGCCAATAGTGTTGTCTGGGGACATAAGCAAACAGGCAAACAGACGGGGGGATGAACAGGAGGGCATAGGCCAGAGAATTGATGGATAGGAAGAGTGGTGGACAGACAAACAGGGGGACAAATAGATGGCCAGAGGGAACAAATAGTTGGGTGAATGGATCACAAGTTGTTCCATGTATCCGCTTGAGAGGTTGGAGTGGTTAATGAAAGGGCGGGAGAAGGAGAGGCAAATTCACGAGGCATGACCGAGCAGAAATGAACGGACTGGAAGCGTGATGGACAGGCAAACAGTAGGTGGCCAGAGGGGACGAATATTTGGATGAAGCTATCACAAGTTGTTCCATGTATCAGCTTTAGAGGTTGGAGTGGTTAATGAAGGGGTGGGAGAAGGACAGGTGAATTCGCAAGCCATGAATGGGCAGAAATGGATGGATGTGTGTGTGATTGGATGACTCAAGGAGTGAATGCAAGGACAGCAGAGGTAATTGCCAGTGGGGTAATTGGTGCAAGATCTGGAAGACGAATTGCCTTGACGTTTATTGGTGGTGGGAGTGGGGTGGGGGAGCGGGGCGAGGGCGCGGAGGTGGGGTGGGGTGGGGTGGGGAGTGTAAGAATCTGTGGAAATGTTGCAGAGAGGGTGGGCAAACACACCAGTACCTTTTCCATGTATCAGTCGCGGGCCCCTCACCGCGACTTTCGGAGGCCTGAAACGCAACCTAGGCACTTGAAAAACAAATACGTGGCGGTTAATACGGGCAACTTTCGGGGGAGGTGCATCTTGAATGAAAGTGGCGCCTAGGATGATGAAAGATACGAGTGAGAAGACATTGAAGATGTGCATCTTGAATGTTCCCAGCCCTGACAGAAGAGTTTTTTGGCATGGATGGAAGAGGTGGGGGGGGGGGGGGGGGGGGGGGGGGGGGGGGGGGGGGGGGGGTGTAAGAAGAATCTGCGGAAAGGTTGCAGAGATGGTGGGCGACCAAAAATATGGTTGTTTGCTCGGTGGCCCGCGGATGCAAAGATGAGACTGAGTGCACAGCGCATTCAACATTTGCATGTGGAATGGTCTGAGTCCTTGCAGGATCATAGAGTTTCCAGCGCTGATTACCTATTAAACCATCAGTACTTGGCCCAGCTATCGGCCGCGGAAAAATTTAGAGTAGAAATGTTTCTACTTGGATGAATTTGGGCGCTCCTGTAGTGGCCCGTACGTTTCCTAAAATCGCGTAGCGTTAACGGGCGCGACTTTAGGAAGTACTGGTGGTTTAACATATCATGCAGCTAACTGTTTTGGTGTGGATGGGGATGCCAACAATATTAGTTAGAAGAAATTACGAGTGACTTGATACTTGCTGCGCGATGGAGGAAAGCAAGAAAGTTGAAGTGAGAGTGTCCCCATTGGATGCAGTTGCAGAAAGGGGAGGAAGGGGAGTTTTTGAACTACATCCCTTGCTGAAGGTGAGCCAACCGATTCAGACTTTGACAAGCCACACAGGAGTTGTGTTTAGTATGTTTGTTTGAGTTTTATGATCCAATTTGTCGGCACAATAGGTATTGTCGAGTGCAAAGACGAGGCGTAGATTTGGGGAGGGTGTATGGTTGTGGACCCGCGGATTTTTTGAGTGGATGGTAATGAGTATGAGTTCCAATATTCTGCATTTCCTGGAGTAGTAGCGCCGCGCTTCGGACCCTGAGCTTTCCGCGAGAAGGCCCGAAGTTGTGGGTTGAAACGACGTATGGCATCAGCAAGAAGACCCTGTTGAATTTCACTCTGGTTGGACTCTTTGAAATGACTTCTCAGGGGTAGAATAAGTGGGACCTTGTGTAAGTGGAATACTGCTGCAAAAAAAGACCGACAGAATCAGCAGGGGAAGGACGCAGTGAATGAGTCTGGTATCCTTAGCCTCTGGAGTGGTCGGTAGGTCTCGAAGAAGTCCAGGGATTGAGATTTGAGCCATTCCCTGTTGAATTTCTCTGTGGTTGGACTCTTTGAAATGGCTTCGCAGGGGTAGAATAAGTGGGACCTTGTGCAAGTGGAATACCGCAGGAAAAAAAAGACAGAGAGAATCAGCAGGGGCAGGGCGCAGTGAATGAGCCTGGTATCCTTCGCCTCTGGAGTAGTTGGTAGGTCTCGAAGAAGTCCAGGGATTGATATTTGGAGCGATTGCTTGAGAAGGTTGGTTGGGTTGAAATGATAGAGGGAGTCGGCAGGGGCAGCATTCTGCATCTCCAGAGTAGATGGTGGGCTCTCAAAAAGTCCAGGGATTTGCATCTGGAGATCCTTCATGAAGGTTGGTTGGGTTGGAATGATAGGAGATGGCCCAAGGGTAGTGAGGGAGGGGGATGTGGGGAAGGTACGGGACAGTGCCCAAAACATTCACATCAGTTCTTAAGCAGAATACTGTGCAGCAAGGGGATAGCACTGGGAAGCTTCCGGGTGTCTTTTTCTCTCTCTCCTCTTTTCTTTTCTTTTCTTTTTTCTGCTTCTGTCTCTTATAGATAATGAAGGGCGTATTTGATTTGGTTTGCTATGCCGGGAAATATTTCAAAACTTAGAAACGTATGTTATTGAGGGGATTGTGTTGAACACTCAGCAATCCATTCAAATGCTGGCCAGGATATGGCCGGCATGTGAATGCGAGGTCGCGTCAAAGTGCCGATTGCTGGTGGGGAGCATTGATTACTGACAGGTGGTACTTTCTTGTAATCTTCTTTGTTATGATTTTAATATTACTTCAGGTTATCTACACATATGATATACATTGACATAATCAAATTGTGCATGTATATACAGCACACAAATTGTGTATTCTGCGCTGCTTAGTTATTATGATTCCTTGTGTGGTTGGTTTTCTGAACCATTCCCTCGCCTCTTCTTCTTCTTCTTCTTCTTCTTCTTCTTCTTCTTCTTCTCCTTCTTCTCCTTCTCCTCCTTCTCCTCCTCCTCCTTCTTCTTCTTCTTCTTCTTCTTCTTCTTCTTCTTCTTCTTCTTCTTCTTCTTCTTCTTTTTCTTCTCCTTCTTCCTCTTTTCCTCTTCTTCTTCTTCTCCTTCTTGTTCTTCTTCCTGTATCCTTGGTATGTTTTCAGTCGATCTTCTCCTCCTCTTCCATCTCCTCCTCCTCCATTCTCGTCTTTGTTGTCGTACTCCTTCTCCTTCCTCTTCTTCTTCCTCATCTGCTTCTTCTCCTTCTTGTTCGTCTTCATGCCTCCTCGGTATGTTCTCAGTGAATAGTCAGGTTTTGTGAGATTTCTCCCTCCTTTCTTCTTCCTCTTCCCACTTGCCTGCTTGGTATACGGCTACCATACACAGTTTGACAGAGAGGGAGGGATAGGGTGCGTGCACAAACAGGTGGAAGTTCGTGGAATTTTATTTCGCGTTTTGAAGGGGATGCAGAGTTCTAGTAGAGCTTGGATGTTGATATCCCTTTTGGATGGATATTTGGTTGGGAGCGAGTTGGCAGTGATGCATAGGTGGCAGACTATTCCCATTTCGGAGCAGTCGAAGGAGTTCTGAAAAAACTTGGATGCGAATGGTTCTTCAGAATGGGTGTTCAGTTGTCGAATATGTCAACCTCTTTTTTTCTGGTATTTTCAGTTTACGGTTCGCTGCAGGTGTTTCTGACTATTTTATAATTTCCATCTAGAGCAGCGGGTTTGCTTGAAGAAGCAGCAAATCGCGAGTTCTGTCGAGTAGTGCAGGTATTGGTCATCTTCATTTCGCATACATGGCTGTGAGGCAGCAACAGGCTGGATTGGTTTATCTGTGCATGTACCTTAATTTTCACCTGGGAAGTTTGGATGAGCTGTGAAGTCCTAAAGTTGAGATGACGTGCAGAAAACAGTGGTAGTAGTGCCGAAGATGGAAGGAAGTGGAAATGTAATTGCACTGATGATAATGTATGAAGAGGAAGAAGATGCACCGGGAGAGATTAGACATTTGTCACACTTTTCGTCTTGTGGTCGAGAGGAATCTGTTTTGTTTGTGAGACATCCACGTGGATTTGTTTCACATGGGCACATTGAATGGTGCTTATTGTGCTCAGATTTGAGGTTGGTAGTGGTGGTGGTTGTATAGATGAACGTGGGACACAGAATTGTCATTTCTTACAAGCTCAGCGGACCCTTGTCCATTGTCCATACGTATGCTAAAAACTAGCCAACTTACGATGCTATCAAATTACGGGAAACACAGTGTGATTCTATTTTTCTGTGCTGGTTGCACACAAATGCTTCTGCCTTCCTCCCATTGCCTCCACCCTGCCGCGTCCCTCACGAATGCTTCTGCCTTCCTTCTGCAGCCTCCCCCCTCCCCCTATGCATCGCCCGCGGCCGCGGCCACGGGGTCAAAAGCTCGGACGGTGGCCGAGTTCATGGCCGTGGCCGTGGCTGGGGTCTCGGCCGCATAGCGGCCTCGCTTTCCACGGATTTTTGCCATCGAAAATAATAGAAAAAAAATAATTGAAAAAAATGAGGGTGTAGTGTTCTTCAAACCCTACAACCCCGTAACTTTTTTGAAGGAAACAATTTTTAAAAAATAAGTTTTTTTTTTTTGGGAGTTTTGGTTGGCAGTTCTTTGTCTTCTTCGACGTTATGTTTGTTTGTTCTTTTTTTTTGTGTAAGAAGAAAAAAACAAAGAATGAAAAAAAATGTATATATACGATATAGGACTGTTTTTTTTCGAGGGACGATTAGTATGTGTGTGAATGTGTCCGTGTGTGTGTGTGAGTGTGTCCAATATATCCCACGGCGTACTCACCATGCACCCCATGGAATTCATGGTACACTCGGCCTGCCCCTAACCAAACGAATGCTGTATGCTGCCACTCGACTACTACTCATGAAGCTACCTTGTACATACGTGGTTATCCATGACCAACTTTCCAACGTGCCAGACATCTAGGCGAGAGGGCATGGGGGTGGCGGGAGGGTAGACTGCAGGCAAACACACCAAGCAAGCAAACCAAAACAAGTCTCAAAAGGATGCCAAGACCAGGCAGACAAAGCATCAGGGCATGCCAAAACCAAGCAAGCAAAAAGACATCAAGGCATAGGCTGGAGGGCATGGGGGAGGCGGGAGGGCAGACAACATGCAAGCACATGGAACAGGCACACAAGCACACCAAGACAGGCAAACCGAAACAAAATACAAGTCCCAGGAAAGTCGAAGGACCGGAAAAATAAGTGCTGGTGATGAAAGATTGTTTCATCGGAGTTGCACCGACTCATCAGGATGCTCAACCCTCGACAATCTGCAGAATCTCCGTCTTTGATCGTTTGGGTCATGAACCCTTTGACCCTTGTTGAAGGCAGACTGTCCCCAAAAGGAACATAGCAGCGAGCAGCAAGCAGCAACCCTGTGGAGCACCAGGCAACACAGTACAGGCAACACAGCTGCACAACGCCAAACACAACTGCAAGGAATGAACCGTTCGACCCTTGTTGAAGGCAGACTGTCCCCAAATGGAACATAGCAGCGAGCAGCAACCCTGTGGAGCACCAGCCAACACAATAGAGGCCACACAGCTGCACAATGTCAAAAACGACTGCAAGGAACGACACGGCAAGCGGGGGACAAGCGAACAGCACAGCAACCGTGTAGTGAAGCACAAGGCAACACAAGCAAGGCAACCACACTGCAAGAGATGACAGGGCAAGCAGACCAGCAGCTCGGCAACCGTGTAGCGAGGCACAAGGCAACAACAAGGAGGCAGCCAACCTACCAGGCACGCAAGCAGCAACCACGGAAGGCACAGCCAGCGGATGAGCAGCAAGGCAGCAGAGCAGCGAAGCGCAAGGGAACACCTACAATGCAGCCACACCACACAGAGAACACAAGCTTGCATAGAACCAACATGCGAAGCAAGCGGGACAGGCAGCAAGTCAGCGGCAGAGCGCAGACAAGGAAGTCCGCACATCCAACACGGAGCAAAGCGGCACATGACCTGCTCACATCATGATTGAACCCCGCAACACTGTTTGTTCCCACCACCCGCTGAGCCAGGGAGACACTTCGACTGTTTGGCACTGATAGAGGGTGCTCAACTAGGGACACAAAGTTTTTAAAAAAAATAGGAGAAAGGAAAAAAGCAAACATACCAAAAACTGATTGTGTGTGTTTGTGTTCCGAGGAAACTTAGGAGCTCGCCACATCACTCTTGAAATGTGAAAAAGACAAAAATGTGGCGGGTCCACCTGGCCATGTTCTAGCGGGAAGTTCATCCTCATTTTGCACATTTTGAGGGTGGTGTGGCGATGCCCTTAATTTCAGCGACTGCTCACGACGGAAACGTACTGCGTGTGTGTGTGTGTGTGTGTGTGTGTGTGTGTGTGTGTGTGTGTGTGTGTGAGAGAGAGAGAGAGAGAGAGAGAGAGAGAGAGAGAGAGAG